CGAGGCCTGTGAAAAAAGTTAGGGGCTCTCAAAAGTCTGAAATTACAGTGTCTCCGGTTGAGCTCATATTTCGAGGATATACATAGGGACCGCAGGCAGTTTTCTAGAAACCATCAGATTTAAATGATTTTCATATGACCGTGTACTTCATAGTCCTGGCAACTTTAAAAAAAAGAGATCTTGGAAAAATATTGACTCTGAACGAAGTTACAGCCGTTAAAGCGCGCGTTTCGCGATTTCAATTCTCTGTAGAAAATTTGGTCGAGGTCGCGAAAAAAGTGGGCGTTGCAAGGGTGCGGCGCGCTCTCAAAGATCAGTAAAAAAATTAGAGAAAAAGTTTCTTGTTAATCTTTTTTTCGCACTAAAACACAGTAATGATGGTTTTTCATTATTGGAAGTGATAGAACAATGTCCAAAAAAATGAGGACCAGCAAAAATAAACATTGAAAAAAAGAATAAGTTGAACGATTTCCAACGGCAAAAAGCAAAATTAATATTTACGGAGTTTTTCAATGCTTTTGATGTTCAAAACTGTTAAAAATATCATTAGGAAGCATGGATAAACGCAAATTCTCCCTGAAACAAGATTCGATACAGAATTCGGAACCAATAAAAGGTTGTGAATCCATAGAAACACGAATAAATTAATTATTAATGACTTTTTATAACCATTCTTGTAGCAATACAGCACTTTTTAAATGCGCTCAACTCATTAAAATCCACTTTTTATGTCTTATTCAGGTGAATTTCCCGACTTTTAACGTGTTTTCCAGTGGAATCCTGATAGTGGGAGTTTGGCGAGACTAAAATAATTTTTTTGTTCTGGAAAAGCATGTGAAGTTCTATTTTTGTTTTTCCGAATTACATTACTGAACGTTTTTGACTCATTTCAAAAAAGTTTTACGCTATTTTTGCTTTGAAAACATCGCGAATTCGGAATTTTCGTGGGTCGGTGAATGCACAATTTCGCCAACGCGCAAATGCAGGACGCTGTTTTTTTATTGTTCGAATGAATCAAATTTTTGAAAGCACAAGCAGGATTTTTATTTTTTTGACTATGTTGAAGAAAAAAAGTAAATCAAATCAAAATAAGAAAAATAATTTGCCTACGACGGCTAAAAACACTTTTCCAAGTGTTTCAAAAAGATCAAAAAAATCAAAACTTATTTTTTTAAAATTAAGGTTCGAATGAAAGTTTCGTTTTTTTATTTTTTTAAAATGTTCTAAAATTTATAGAGAACAGTTCAAAAAAATTTTTTTACGACGTTTCGCGGAAAATGCCGAAGTTCCCGAATTTCGAAAGTTGCGATTTTTCCGACGCTTCGATACTTGAAAGCACAAGCAGGAATCTTTTTTTATTTTTTTACTTATATGGTGTATTTTTTTACATGCTTAACAAAATAAGAAAAATAACTTGCCTACGAGCGGGATTGTAAGAATTCAACGTTTTTTTCCACTTTTTTTCGCACAAAGGCGTCGCGAAAAAAACGTCATTTTAACCGATTATTTTTTATTTACAGCTGTTTCTCCTATGTAAAATTGTAGAGCATAGCCGATTGTATGTTTCCCTTAATTTTTTCCCAAAACGGTTCAGGGAAACTGCATAAACAACAATGAAATGTCAAAAATGCAACGAAATATACGACGTTTTTTGGTCAGCGAGGGGGTGTGGCCTTGCGGTCCCTAGATATACATTCCTGGCCACGAAAAATAGTTTAATGAGTACGGATTTCAGATTAAAATGTACCTTCTAACTTAGTCTAGATGGGCCAGATGCCGTTTTTCATGCTGATTTCGAATCTTTGCTTGAAAATCGCGGCGGGAGGTGTTCGTAAAAATTATGATGGCTTAAAGTTGGGTTTAAAAAACCGATAAAAACTATCTCTTTCTTATTTCTCTAGCGTGTGAGTATCTATGAAAAATTTCTTAGCTTCGAAATTCTCTCTAACATAACTTTCCATGTCACCGGGAAAAGCTGAGGCTATCATCCAAAAAAACTGGAATTAGAAAGAATTTTTTTCAGTTTAAAAGCGTGTACAACTTTTTTTCTCCAGAGCTTCTTAACAGTTTAGCCCAAACTCGAAACGACTGTGATTTTTGGATCATTTCCGAGTAGCAGTCAGAGAAAAGAGGGCCCAGACAGGTCAGAGAGCTTCAATTGATAGCTTACTCAGTGTGAAATTGGTACGCAAAATCCTTTTTCCGTCATCTGATAGCAACAGAAAGGTACGAAGCTCGTAGACTCTGAAAATTTGGAGGCGTCAAAAAGGCTTTTCATGTCAGTTTCAAATAGAGCTAATTTTCAGCCGGAATTTCTCTGTCATGGGGCGCATAAAGGCCGCCACAGCTGTTTCTCTGACCTACGCTTTTCCGTCGCAGCTAGATAACGACGAAATAGCGTGTCTGAGGAAGAGTTGTGGCGGCCTTTGCCGCATGTCAGAGTTGTGAGAACCGCGGCTTTCATCCTTCGATTATTTATCAGTAGAGCACACTTGAAACTTATACGCGGCTATTTTCATTTCAAAAGCAGAGTCATTGGCGTTAAAGAGTGAAAATCAGTCTTTAAAACCGATTCGGACTTCGGTAACGCGAACCGGACACGAATCGGACGTGTTCGGAGTATTCCTAGTGACCACTCTAGAAGAGTAAGATCTCTTAAGTGATCCCTAGAACTTCTCAGAAGCGTCCCAGGCGCGTTTGGTTTGCGTTACCGACTCGGACCTTGGTAACGCGAACCGGACACGAATCGGACGTGTTCGGAGTATTCCTAGTGACCACTCTAGAAGAGTAAGATCTCTTAAGTGATCCCTAGAACTTTTCAGAAGCGTCCCGGGCGCGTTTGGTTTGCGTTACCGACTCAGACCTTGATATCGCGAACCGGACGCGCCTTGGATGTGTCCGAGCATTCCTAGTGACCACTTTAGTAGGGTCAGCACTCCTAAGTGATCCCTAGAACTACTCAGAAACGTTTTCATTAGGTCCGAGACCATTATCAAATATCGCGGCTTCTTTTCATCATTATCAGCAGAGCGCACTTGGTGCCTTATTTGCTGATTAGAGCGGCAAATCAAAAAAGTCCTGTTTTCCCCGATTTTTTCATAAAATGTTTGTTTTTCTTCAATACTAAAGGTTTTCGAAGTCCGTGTCCATTTGTTTTTCACGAATTTTAGTTAGTATTCCAAAAATCTCACTTATAAGTGTACCAATCGCAACGGAACAAGAACCAAACGTGCCGGTCACTTGACATGAATGTTGACTGTCTTGAGCAGCCTGAAATTCGAAGGGATATCCAAAGAACGACCAGTAAAACATAAGATTTATCTGATCAATGTCACCTAGCAGAGCTTTTCCTTGGAATAAAGCTACTTGAAATTCTTCGAATATCCCTTTTGAAGGCAAAATACTCGAAAAAAGGTGTTTGTAAGGTTTGAAGTCCCACAAGAAACACATTTCGCAGCAAAGTTGCTCTAGGGAGATAAAAATTGATCGTCCTCGGACCCCGGTAACCAAAACCGGACGTTACTGAGCATCTAGGGATCACTTAAGCGGGCTGACGCTACTAAAGTGGTCTCTAGATATGCTCCGACACGTCCGGGGCGCGTTACCAAGATCCGAGATCCTAACAAAAGTTGCGGTGCACCCCACGTCAAACTCTCGGTGCACCCTGAGTCAAACTCTCGGTGCACCCTGCGTCAAAATCTCGGTGCACTCCGCGTCAAACTCTCGGTGCACTCTGCGTCAAACTCTCGGTGCGCCCTGCGTCAAACTCTCGGTGCACCCCACGTCAAACTCTCGGTGCACCCCGCGTCAAACTCTCGGTGCACTCTGCGTCAAACTCTCGGTGCGCCCTGCGTCAAACTCTCGGTGCACCCCACGTCAAACTCTCGGTGCACCCCACGTCAAACTCTCGGTGCACCCCGCGTCAAACTCTCGGTGCACCCTGCGTCAAAATCTCGGTGCACTCCGCGTCAAAATCTCGGTGCACTCCGCGTCAAACTCTCGGTGCACTCTGCGTCAAACTCTCGGTGCGCCCTGCGTCAAACTCTCGGTGCACCCCTACGTCAAACTCTCGGTGCACCCCGCGTCAAACTCTCGGTGCACCCTGAGTCAAACTCTCGGTGCACTCCGCGTCAAACTCTCGGTGCACCCCGCGTCAAACTCTCGGTGCACCCCCCGCAGTGTAACCAGGGATTTACCCCGTTTTCAAATGCCTATCAAGGTACTTACTCTTGTACACGATTTATGAAGTGAACTGTTCCCTAATATCCCCATTTTTTACAGGTTCATCCTAGGCTGTTACGGTAGCTCAAAAACAGCTTCTTATTTCTGACCGGTTGCCCCAGGGGTGCACGCTATTTCGGGGTGACAACGGGGGCACCGAAAAAGATCAACGAAAAGTTCACTTTTTTTCGGGAGTTCACTCCCATTTTTCGTTAGAGTAATTTCTCTTTTTTTGAATATCGGATTACGGTCCTAGAAGGGATTTCCTGCCGTGAAAGCTTCTGATTTGATTAGATCTGTTAAGAAAATGGTCAGGTAATTTTTGAATACCGGATTACGGTAAGCAACTTTGTGTACACCGATCCTTCACTAAGTTCAAAACAAGATTTTCCATAAAAATACAAGCCTTTCTACATTCTCCAGTTTTTTATATTCGAAAAAGCTCTACGAAATCGCATAAAAATCTAAAATCTTATGCTTTACTCTGACCAAACTCCTTTAGGAACCGAGAAAAAAAGGACCTGGAGGAAACTCGTCCGAGTACTCCAACGTCCGTGAATCATCGAGCCGGACGTAATCGATTTTGTAGTCGGTCAGACTTTTGTTGCTCTTGCTGCAAAATGCAAATGCGCTCTGGCGAACATTCGTCTTCAATGGCTTCTCGGACCTCGGTAACAAAAACCGGGCTTTTACCAGCAATTCTAGGGATCACTCAAGAGCGCTAACGCTACTATAGTGGTCACTAGAAACGTTTCACGTCACCAATGTCTGAAGGTAAATCCTCATTTTTTCTAAATCTCATCGATTTTATCGAAAATGGCTTTGGCAGCATTATGAAAAAAACCACATGGTTAAAAATGTCCTCTTGAGAAGATCCGTTTCAATAATTCTTACTGAAAATCTGCCTAAAGCTTAAATTTTCCCAGAAAACTCCTAGCGTCATCTAAGTGGTAACTTAAGTAGAAAAACACTCACAAAGTCACCGGATGAATAATGTAACGCCGTCCGTAGGCCCGGACGAAAGACAACAGATATTGATTGGGCTCTGACTGAAATTCAACGAAAAATCAATAATCTTCCGATTTTCTGTTTTTCCCCTAGACTTCTCTTCTCATTTACATCTAAAGTTTCCCATCAAAAAATTTGAAATTCAATCAGACAGTCCCACGAAACACGGCTTCATGGGAATGGGATGATTTTCAAAAAGGCATAAATAGTTGAGAAACATCGAAAAGCTTGTAATTTCTTCTAGGCGGAATGCATCCAAAAGTGAGTTTCGCTTCAAACAATTCTATAACAATTTTCAGATTTTCCTCGCCCTTTTGCTGATTCTCATCGGCTTCATCGCCTCCACTGACGCCTTATACGGTTCGTTTTCGAGATTAAACTTGAATAATGAAGATAAAAGTTCCAGGCTACCCATACTACATCTGCCGAACCTCAAAAGAATGCTGGGGCATGCCGTGCCGCAAAGGCAGATGCGACCTCGGATTCCAATACTGACGAGCAAAAATCAGTTTGAACTTGACTCCAAGCTAATGAAATAAATGGTTGAAAGACGGATTTTTCGTGTTCTCTGTTGGCGAATAAACTTCAATTTCTTATCTAGAGCCCAGGAAATGATAAATTCAATAGGCAAAGTCGGAAAGGGTGAGAAGAGTTTCCATAAGAATTTAATTTTTAGAGTGACAAAGGCTCCTTTTTTACTGCCGTTTTGCGCCAATTCATCGGCTTTTATGCACCATTTTCGCTGCCCTTTTCCACCATTTCTTGAGAATCACCGAAAAAGCTGAAGGCCCGATAAAGGGACTCTTTTTGCTGCCTTTCTGCGGTCT